TCGGCAGCGCTCGTAGCAGAGTGGGTAAGGTACTCGCCTTGTACTTGAAAGGACAAGGGTTTAAATTTCCTTCATGGAAAGTGTTTTTTTTTTTTTTTTACAATTGTAAATGAAAAAAATTCAAAGCTAAAGAAAAATTATTGTGGGAAAATAAATTTGAAATCTGTTGAAATATTCATTGCTTGAGAGTGTGAAGGGGAGTAGCGGGCAAAGGTGTGTAGGAGAGGAGCATGGCACGGTTGGCAGATATATGGTGGGGTGAGGGAAAGTGTGTAGTGAACTGTTATTGAGGGGGACGGAGTAAGGGGGGAAACTTGAGAGAAAGAGACTTTCAGTAAGCCACTTCTGTTTCATCAAACTTGTCGGTTTTAAAACTCCAGCCCCCTGAGTACGCGACATAAAGAACTTCGTTCTAAAAAATTCTTACGCTTGCCTGCCGAAACAAAATTATGAAAAATAAAAATCTTTGAAAATAAAATTCGTGTCAACAGGTTGTTAAGGTCAGGAGATTCAATCAAGATAAAGTAAAAATTTATTATCCATTTTTACCAACAACCTGTCTGGTGCATTTTCCGTTTGGATATTTTAAAAACAGATTGTCAGGAACTACCTTATCTGACTTGGGTCTTAAATTGATGTAGTTCACAATTACTGTACGGAATGGTTCATTTACCGTGAAATTGCGAACTATGTGGGTTTTTTTTTTGGATAGTGTAACTATGAGATGTGACTGTTTATCTTGGATGTCACTAATACATAGATTATGGAGCTTTTGTCTTCGACAAGCACCTATGAGGCCCAATATCAAAGCGACTGAAAATTTTCAAGGTTAGTTAATGAAAAATATTCAAAACTACATATTTTAGTATTAAATATAAGAACAGTAATCACCTTAATACCCAAAAAATTTTTGTCTGGAGCTTGAAACAGGAACTTCTTAAACTCATCCGTTGTGAAAGGCCGTGCTTTTTTTGACTTGTATCCAGTGATTAATTTCTTAATAAAACTTTTGAGTTTGTGATATTGGCTAATATCGACATTTTTCTCTGTTTAAATTATTGGTCGGAGCATTGAATATTTTAACCATAAAGAGGGAGGTGCTAGAGACTTGCTTAGATCATTGAAATAAGTCAAAAGCTCAGCAGCCACCCCCGAAACCACATACAAAAGAATCGTTCTAATTAAATAAGCATTTGTTGATAAGAACTGACGAAAATCGTCATGCCATATAAATTTAAACTTATATAAAGTAAATTTATAAACTCGATATCACAAGAACAATAAAAGGTTCCTATTTGGCCTTGCTCTATGGCTTTAAACGATCACCATCGAAATGACAAAATTATGAAGATACGAACAATTTTTAGAAGTACTATAAAATTTGTGAAACTTTTAATTTCTTCGCCTTAATTTTTAGTTATTTTAAACAATGATGAACAAATTTCAATCATTTAGAACGCAAATTGTTCGTTTTAAGAATAACCACGAATGGCATACTATTTGACATGGATTTTGTTGTTTGGCTGAAAGACATGCTCCTTGGGCGGAGACTGATCCATCTATCATTCTCTAAACTAGTAAGATTAATAGAGTATTCGTAATGATGTTAAAAAGTCAGATGTAAAATTTGAGATCATTTCACAACACCAATTTCTGGATATTAAATATAAAAAAAGAATTAAAAAAGATTTTTTTCAACATGTAACCGTATGAAAGAGTCACATAAAAAAAAAATCATGAAAAAATGGTTGGCAGATTTTGTCCGATTTTTTTTTGCATGTTGCAATACCATAATACTATAGTATTATGTTTAGTTTTTAAAGGGATCAAGAAGGTATTTTTACAATTAAATAAAAAAACAGTATCAGACACCTATTTATTAATAAACAAATTCTTGCTAAATAGTTAGTGACGCTGCTGCATGCTCGTTCCCCCCTCACTGCACTCTTTACATTTTCTCTCTAACTGTATTTAACGTCCGCAAAGTCGACATCAATATTTTTACTGTCAGATAATTTATATCCTCGATGATTTAATAGTAAAGGAAAATTATTTGCTGATACTAAGATAATGAAAAAATCATTAACAATAGTAATACGATAGTTGTTAGTATTTTATTACGCTCCCCAATTTAAAACTAAATTGGCAAAATCGAACGATAAATGGCCGAGATGTACATTTTTTTTAATACGTAAATTTTGAGCCGTTCAATCCATAACATTCAAGTGAAATATAACAGATGTATACTTCGAACTTTATCAGGGTTGCGAATAAATATTAAAATGAAACATTAAAAAAATTAAATTTTTTAGACAAAACATATGATACAAATATTTTATTATTGAACAATACTAATTACTGTTCTGTGTCTTAGCTTCGAACATTTAACAAATTTTTTTGTTAAACTTTTAAGGGAATTCCGGCAATTAGAATACACAGTTCTTACTCATATGTGAAATATAACAGATGTATACTTCGAACTTTATCAGGGTTGCGAATAAATATTAAAATGAAACATTAAAAAAATTAAATTTTTTAGACAAAACATATGATACAAATATTTTATTATTGAACCATGCTTATTACTGTTCTGTCTTAGCTTCTGAACATTTAACAAATTTTTTTGTTGAACTTTTGAGGGAATTCCGGCATTTAGAATACACAGTTCTTACTCATACGTCAATTCTTTAGTGAGATATTTGCAAAAAACCACATACAAAAGAAGTCGTTCTATTTAAATAAGCATTTGTTGATAAGAACTGACAAAAATCGTCATGCCATAAGTAAATTTATAAACCAGATATTACAAGAACCATAAAAGGTTCCTATTTGGCCTTGCTGTATAGCNCTAAACAAAGTTTTCTCTCGGTCCGCAAGAGAAACTGCACCGTATCATGTAATTACTTACGTAGGCAAATTGTCAGAAAATATTAAACAACACTTAAGTATATTATACAAGGTATTAGTAAAAACCTTAGATTAGATATAATTTTATGCAGGCACATCCTCCTGATGTTTTTGCTACAAGAAACTAATGTTTTTTGGTAAGTGGGAAGTGCGACTCGTAGATCTTAGTTGCAGGTCCAGCCTTTCCTTCCATATGTATTATGTCATGCCTCTCGGTTGTTATCTTTTATCAAAGGTAATGGTTATCAAAAATGACAGTACAAAGTACTCATTTACCTTATTTATGATAATTCACACACTAACCCTGTTTTTAATGAGAAAAAAAAGCCTCTAGTTAGTGAGACACCCATGTTAATCCAGAATTTTTTCTTGAAAACATCTTTCTCATCATGTTTTTTCCTAAAAAAAATGAATGTTAGCCTCTAACTCAATGACGTTTTCCGCTTAGCCCGCATATTTCTCACTTATTCAAGGAAAGAAACCTTATATTAAAAAGTTTCTGGAAGACTTTTTTGTAAAGGACTCGGTGGAAGACTAAAGAAGTGGTAATCAAGCATCCGCAGTTGTACTTACTTAACTATGTCCTTTGATATTCCACCATCAATTAAGATAGGGAAAGATTTTATTCTAACATTTTTCATCGTTCCTTTTCAAAGAAATGTATTAACATCCCTATTTTTCTACGATGTACGTATGCATGTATTAGCATAACTTATCTCTGTCGAAGTCTGTTTATATGAAAACGTGAGCAGTAAGATGGTAGAACTTTCGATAGCTGTAACATACTACTAAGACCAAGTTCTTAGTGTATAATACGGACGAGTTTTTTAATGCACCTTACTTGTGAAGTACTAGTGATTAACATATTTAGAAGGTTGGAATGTTAATATAAAATGTAAAATATTTTGAAAAAGACATCCAGTGCTGATCTTGATCTCAACGTCAAGTCAAAGCATGCACAGATGTATGGTAGGTTTTAACACTATTTAAAACTGAAGAAAACAAATTTAGTACTCTTTTTTATTAACACAACAATAATGTCAGCAATTATAGTGATTCACCACAAATAAATGTCATCATCGCAAGCTCCTGCAACTCCTAATATTATTATAATACATTCATTATTACATCGGGTGATTTATGGCTATTGCTACACGGTCGGTAAGAATTTGGGTGTAAAATGAGTTACTCGACAAAAGTAAGTTTTGTAAATTTTAGTTCAATGCTAAGTTCATAATGCAGCAATCGTACTGCTCAATGTTGTGTATACGTAAGTACGAAATAGTGAAAATATTGACTCCGTGAAATTTCTGAAGTTAAACACATTTTCACTCGCACATCAGAAGCTTAGAAACTTCAAAGTAACAAAGATTCAAATAAGTAAGGGTCTAATTACTTTGTAATTGGTAATAAGAGTTTAAGCCAACTTTATTTATTGTACCTAGTATGGCGATTGAACTTACCTCGATTTATAACTTGAAGATTCAGATGATTGATTAGTGGTTCTGTCAAAATTGAACTAGAGCAGTTTAATAAAAATGCTTAACTATTTTATAACTTTCGTAACAGGTTTCAACTGGCTTTTAAATACATTTTTTTCTTAAATTAATGCAAGGAGGTAATGNGTAGGTTTATGTAATATCTATCTTTGACTTTCTAGAGACTTAGGAATGCTTTATGATGATTTAGAATTTTATTTGTATTTATAGTAGTTATTTTTTAAAGTTGTAACATAAGCTATTTCTATTAACTTTATTGCAGTATAAGCACTATAATTATACATTTTTTTTTTAAAGAGTACGATTACTTATCTACGTTGAAAGTGACAAAATTACAGACAAAGCATCTTTTATTTTACCAAACGATTAAAATTATCGTTAGATTTATTTGAGAAACATTACTGTGACATCAAAAAAAAAATTTTGATTAGATAGAATTTTATGCAGGCACATCCACCTGATGTTTTTGCTACAAGAAACTAATGTTTTTTAGTAAGTGGGAAGTGCGACTCGTAGATCTTAGTTGCAGGTCCAGCCTTTCCTTCCATAACCTTCATGATAAAATCCAAGTAACCCGTGACTTGGTTGTAGTATGCTGGCATCCGTGACTCATCACAATCAATCGTGCCCTTACTCAAGATTCCAATGACTTGTCCATCTTTAACAAGAGGACCACCACTGTCACCCTGAAAAACATTTTAAATAATAATTGATATCATATAACTAACTATCATACAAATGTACTGGTTAATTTTTGCATTATCTGTCATAGACAGGTCCATAACTAGCTCCACAAAAACTGTTAGTGTATTAATTTCCTCACAAAACCTATGCAATTTTTATAACCATATCGTCTTTATAACGTATTTAAATAGTATATTGAAGTTCTTACAATGCAAGTTCCGTAATGCCGCAAGCCAGGTGTTGGACTCACTGTGCCACAAAAAAGTGTACCCGTCAAACGTTCTTTCCTAAAAATCGGTCTCGTTAGACTTTAGCAGAGCTTATAATTGTGTATTATGCCGTCTACTACCTTGGTCAGCCTACCTCCCACACAGGTGAATTGTCGCTTAGCCAAATGAAAAAATTTTCAATGTATCACCAAAGTTTTAAGCAACATTTCTCTGTGAAGTTTAGGGAGGTTGACCGAGATAGTGGAAAACAAGCGTGTTTGAATTAGATAAGAGCCTTCTTTACTCAATGGTTGCTTTTGGTATATCGCATCGAATCAAGGGAATCACATTTACTTTGGCATATTTTAATGTTCTATCTGCCCCAAAAGGTACTGGTACATTCTGATTTCCGTGCTTCTCTATTCGGATTGAGTTGTAACCAAAACCAGATATGAAAGTAGTTCCACCGTAAATATATTTGTCTGGAGGTGGTAACTCCACAATACCAACCATAACATTATCACGATGAGGAACTGGTATCTCCAGCTGTTGAAACAGTCAAATTTTTTATTATTATTAAAATACACAAATATAACATTCGTGAAGGCTAAAATTTTTCTCACTTTCAACACGGCAACGTCATTTGAGCTGAATTTACCCAAACGCTTAAACTCCTTATGCAAGTAAAATTGTTTTACGCGAACAAAACCACGTTGACTCTTTTTCGCCAGATCCACTATTCCTACATACACTTTTGCGTAAACCGTAGTGGAAGACTAAAGAAGTGGTAACCAAGCATCCGCAGTTGTACTCACTTAACTATGTCCTTTGATATTCCACCATCAATTAAGATAGGGAAAGATTTTATTCTAACATTTTTCATCGTTCCTTTTGAAAGAAATGTATTAACATCCCTATTTTTCTACGATGTACCTATGCATGTATTAGCATAACTTATCTCTGTCGAAGTCTGTTTATATGAAAACGTGAGCAGTAAGGTGGTAGAACTTTCGATAGCTGTAACATACTACTAAGACCAAGTTCTTAGTGTATAATACAGACGAGTTCTTTAATGCACCTTACTTGTGAAGTACTAAGTAAAAATTTGACTTGTTTTGGTTGAACGTTTGAGTTTGAGCACTTCACTCTTGTGGTATGTGGTCTTCCCCTTTCATAAACTGCTAAAATAATGGACACAATCTTCACCACAACTTATTTAAGCGCGTGAAAACGCCATTTTTTATGTTGATCTATATTAATGATTTAAAAACTAAAAACACAACCGAACGCTTTTCTAAGGCGTGTCTTTTGATGACACTTTAACTGCATCAGTAATCTCGACGATGGGAGGAAATACACTGGAATCACTGAGTTTTACTTGT